GGTCCCGACATGAATTATTTTGCTTTATAACATCTTTCGACCAATTGTTCCGTATAAAAAATTTCATCACTTTTTTAAATAAAATACTCTTAAAAAAAAAACGGTATTGTCGTTGAGTGACATGTAACTGGCATAATAATAAAAACGTGCCATTTTTGTTAACTGATATTTTTTTCATAAATGTCGCAAATTTATTAAATTTGTCTAATCATCCCCACCAATAATCTGATGACGTCAATTCAAATTTATACATAGGAAATGGGTTTTAAATTGTATACAGTAACATAGTCCTACACATGTAGTTTATGACTCCGTGTTGAGTTTTTATTATATTTTGGAAAAAAAATCAAAATTATGAAACAATATTTTGCAATTTAATTTTGAATTTGCAAAATCGAATAATTTGAAATCTTGCCGGTGTTTTAAAGTCATGATAAACATGATTTAATTAAAATATATTTGCTTATCCCCTCTAAAAAATTTATGACGTTACCTCAAAATTTTGCAGTATAAATCCTATCTTAAATGTATAAAATATGATGAGTTTTTATACTTGTGATTTATCACTGCATTAATATTTTTTAGATTTGGTTATACAGGGTGTCTCAAAAAAGCTAATGACTGAGTCAGTTTATTTTATTGAAGAAATCAAGAATAGCAAAACTGAATACTTTGAAATATTGTAGATGTTTTGAAGTTTTTGTAAGCATGGTAACTTTTTCGAAAATTTGATTAATCAAATATGAGCAAAATCAAAAATCGGAAAAACTGAAATTCACTAATGCAAAAAACAGAAAATCGAAAAATACAAATCGTAAAAATCGAAAATCTAAAAATGGCTAATCAAAAAATCGAAAATTCAATGAATCAAATACCTAGGTCGATCGAAAACTGGAAATTCACAAACCTCAAAAATCGAAAAAACGAAAATTGAGAAACGGGAAAACCAAAAAATCGAAAAGTCAAAAATTTGTAGTATTGAAAATTAAAAAAATCAAAAACAAAAATAAAAAAATCGGAAATTAAAATAATCAAAATATGTAAAGTAGAAAAAAATTGCAAAGCCTAAAAACTGAAACGAACAGAAAATCTAAAAAGCAAAAAATTGGAAAAACAAAAATTCGAAAAATCTAAAATCGAAAAAGTGGAAAATCGAAAATCTGAATAAAGAAACTTGGAAATTCTGAAAATTGGAAAATCGAAAATCAAAAAATCGGGAAGTAACAAAATTGAAGTCTAACAGTTGAGAATAGAAAAACTGAAAAACCGAAAATTCTAAAAATCGACAATGGACAAATTGAAAATCGCAAAATTTAAATTGAACAGTTGAACATTGAAAAATCGATGAATTGAAAAATCGAAAATTCGACTACTCAAATTTTCTAAAAATCGAAAAATCATAAAGCTGAAAAATCCAAAATTCTAATGATCGAAAGTCTGAAAACTGAAAATCGAAAATTCTGAAAAGCGGAAAATAGAATATCGAAAAATTTAAAAGAAAGAAAATTGAAGTCTAAAAACCGAAGAATGGAAAAATTAAAAATCAAAAATTCGAAAAATCAAAACCGAAAAATTCAAAGATTTAAAAAGAAAATCGAAAAATAAAAAATATGAAAATTGAAACCCGAAAATTTGGAAAATCGAAAAGTAAAAAAATTGAAGTCTAAAAGCTGAAAAATGGAAAACTGAACAATCGAAAATTCGAAAATCAAATATAGAAAAATCGAAAAGCCGAAAAATCGAAAATTTGATAAATCAGATATGCGAAAAACAGAAAATCTGAAAATACAAAACAGGAAAATCAAAAATTTAAAAATGGAAAAACCGAAAATCGAAAATTCAATGAATCTAATACGTAGGTCGATCGAAAAACTGGAAATTCACAAATCTGAAAAATCGAAAATTTGCAAGATTGAAAAACCGAGAATTGAAAAATCAAAAAACCGAAAAATGGAAAAATGAAAAATCGAAAAATAGGAAAACCGAAAATTCGAAAATTCATAATATTGAAAACTCTAAAAGTCGACAATTCAAAAATCAAAAAATTGGAAAGTAAAATAATCGAAAAATCGAAAAGTAAACAAATTGCAAAGCCTAAAAACTGACGAACAGAAAAATCGAAAAATCGTAAAATCAAAAAGTGGAAAATCGAAAACTGGAAATTGAAAAATCGAAGATTGGAAAATCGAAAAATCGAAAATCGGAATATCGAGAATCGACAAATTAAAAAACCGAAAAATCGGAAATCGAAAAATGAAAAAAAAACCGAAAATTCAAAAATCGAATAATCCGAAACTAAAATAATAGAAAAGTGGAAGAGTAAAAATTGCAGTCTCAAAACTGAGGAACAGAAAAATCGAAAAATAAAAAAAAATCGAAAAATATCTAAAAGTGGAAAATCGAAAAATCGAAAATCGGAAAATGGAAAAACCGAAAAATCGAAAATCGAAAAATCGAAAATTCGATGAAACAAATACTCGAAAAAACGAAAAGTAAAAAAATTGCAAGGCCTAAAAATTGAAAAATCATCGGAAAAATCAAAATCGAAAAAACGACGATTGAAAAAAAAATAAAAAAATCGAAAAGTGGAAAATCGGAAAGTAACAAACTTGAAATCTAAAAGCTGAAGAAGGGAAAATTCTAAAAAGCAACAATCGAAAAAAGCAAAATTAAAAATTGAAAATTTGAAAAATGGAAAATCGAAAACTCGAATATCGAGATTTTGAAAAATCGTAAAAATGATAATCGAAAAATCGAAATGCTCAAAAATCGAAAATTCGATTAATCAATATTCTAAAAATCGAAAAAACGGACACAAATCCACAAATCTGAAAAATCGAAAATCGAAATACGAAAAATTAAAAAACCGAAAAATTGAAAAATCCCAAATCGAAAAATGGAAAAACCGAAAATTCAAAAATCAAACTATCGGAAAGTAAAATAATCTAAAAATGGAAAAATAAAACAAATTGCAGAACCATAAAAACTGAAACAAACAGAAAAATCGAAAAACCACAAAAGCGGCAAAACGAAAATCGAAAAATCGTAAAATCAGAAAATGGAAAATCGAATAATCGAAAGTTGAAAAATCGATGGTCGAGAAATAAAACAACCGAAAAATCGAAAAATTTATTCATTAATGGAAAATCGAAAAATCGAGAATAGAAGAATTAAAAACGTAAAATCGATAATTCAAAAATCAAAAAAATCGGAAAGTAAAATATAATCGAAAAATGCAAAAAAATTGCAAATTCTAAAAACTGACGAACAGAAAAATCCAGAAATCTAAAAATGGAAAGACGAAAAATCGAAAATTGAAAGAATGGCAAATCAAAAAATCGAAACATCGAAAAATCAAAAAAACGAAAACTTAAAAAATCGAAAAACGAAAAAACTAAAAACGCGAAAATTCAAAATACCGCAAATTTGAAAAATCAGAAAATTGGAAAGTAATAAAATCGAAAAGTTGATAGAAAAATTGAAACTGAAAAATCTAATTCGATGAAATGGTTGGTCGAAAAAACGAAAAATCAAAAATCGAAGTGATCTTTTTTTGAGACAGGCTGTATAAGTAAATCTAAAAAATATTACTGCAATGATAAATCACAGGTATAGACTCATCATATCAAATTTTACGATGACGTCATGCATTTTTTGGCGAAGATAAGCAAATACATTTTGATCGTGGCTTTGAAAGTATTCTTCGACTTTCGTTCCATTTCAAAATTTACTCTTTGTATATTTCAGTGGTCACAACGAATTCACTAACTACGCTGAAGTATGCGAAGATTAAATTTGTCACCGAAAAGATGTCGGAAGTAATAAATTATCCTATCGGTCGAAGAACGTTCGGTCCGGTGTTACACAACTTTACTGCAGTAAAGGATAACAAATGGAACGGATAAAATAAAGCGTCAAACATGATTGATAAACTTTAAACCAAAATTATGAAGTTTATAAACTGAACATTTTTTTTGTTTTTTGAAATGTAGTACACTTCAAAAAATGTCCGTGACTTATTTTAATATGAATTTTATAACTATGGTTGGCACAATTAGACCTAATATTAGTGTGATTTTGAGCATATTCTCGATTTTATTGGAGCAGAATAGGTTTTTTTTTTATAATTTTATAACTTACGGAAACTAATAGCACATCACAGATATTGCAAAAAAAAATGGGCTCAGGGGTGCGATTTTGTTTCTCGATCGAAGCGATAAATTAAATGTCATTACGTAGGTTTTAAATGCAAAAGTTTGCATTTATTCTTTGCATATAAGCTTATTAAAACGCTCAAAAGTTTACAATTACCTTAATTTTAAGAACTTATAACTCAGAATTACGATTTTGAACTTCTATTTTGACATAAATTTCGAGGTTATGTGTCCAAAATTTATCACTTTACTCAGAGCTATCGACAAAAAAAAGATCGCTCCATGAAGACTTGATTTCGTGACAGAATCGAGAAATGTGACAGAAATGCAGCATCTCAACCAATCAACAAACGAGATTTTATCGCTAACGGGTTTTTTTCGATCGAGAAACAAAATCGCACCCCAGGTTCCAACTAATTGACAAGATTTCAAAGTATTCAGTTTTGCAATTCTTGATTTCTTCAATAAAATAAATTGACTCAGTCATTATTTTTTTTGAGTCACCCTGTATGTATAAACAAATCCAAAAAATATAAATGGAATGGTAAATCCCAAGTATAGACTCATCATATTCTGAACATTTTAGATAGGGTATTTATAAAATTAAAACTAATTCAGAGGAAGAATTTGGTCAACACGTAAATTTCGTTGTAGTTTGAACCTACCTACAAATTCTGCCCTTGGACGATTTGGACTGCCTCCTTCGGTGACGATCGGCAAAAATGATCCGCTCATAGGTTCAAAACATTTGCGTGCGATTGTACGTAGAGGAACAATGACAATGACGTCACGGCCAATCAGAAATGCGCTGTAGCGCGGGAGTTTTAATTCGTTTTTTGGTTGCAGAGAGAATCAGCGCAGAGGGATGCTGACCGAGAACGTCGTCTTCGCGCAGACAGCGAGTCCAGGGCGAAGCAAGCCCTTCAGGAAGCCGCTCGTTGCAAATCCAGACTCAAATTACTTACTACTGAATTTACTAGGTGAGTTGGATGATCGGAGTGGTTGTAATAAATTCTGTCGAATCTTTAAATCCGTTCGGCTTAGCCTCGAAGTTTGCAAGTTAAATAAACATTATCCCGGGTTGTTCCTCCCGGAATTATTATAGTGTGCACCTGTTTGTCATTGCCGGTGAAACCGACTCCGTTTTATAGCATTTTTACAACCGACTTTCGGGGTGCTTGAGTACAGTTTGCGAACTACAATTACGCCATCCGTTTTTTGTACTCGAGAAGCTAATTGAGGGACGTATTAGCCTGAAAAGGGTCATGACAGAGAATTAGTTTTATATCTTTTTTTGCCGAGAGAAAAAATATCGTCGTGGACAACGATCCGGAACGGTAGACGTCATGCTCCTAATAAGATAAAACGACAGTTTAAAATACACAGCGATTCAAATATTTGCTTTCACTTTTACTGTGTACTTGGGGGAGATAAGCAGGGTTAGCTTTCAGAAAGATCCCTCTCTTTTATCTGACTGTATAAATCAAATTAGACGAACAACTGGCAGATCTTACATGACGAGCCAACAAAAGTGGCGTTTTTCTAAAAAGAGAAATGAAATAACTTTTCAACGGAATTAAAACTCCTGAACGTTCAAGTCCAATCCGACTGAGAGTCATCGAGAATCTCGGGGAGGGTTTTTGTAACGGGGATGAAAAGATTGCGTTATTTACCATTTCGGAGCGGGATACACACGAGACCATTTAAATTTCAAATATTTACATTTCGTTGCGGAAGCCCGAATGCTTCTAAAATTCCGCCAGATTATTACGAAAGGGTCCTCGAAGAATGTACGGAAAATCGATCGAGCTAAGGTAGGAGAACGATGGGTTTCTCAATCATCCGTCAACGAAGAACAATTACGGGAAGGTGGAGCAAGTGCTGCGGAAATCGCAATCGACGATAAATAAACAATTTCGGCGAGGAACGAGGTTTCGATATCTAAAATACCTCGATGATTTAAAGTGGTCGCTGCCACCCCAGTCTGAGTTTTATGAACCCAATATGTACTAAATCATCCGCATATTGCCAGGATAAGGATAGTTTACTGACGATATCCTTGCAGATTTATCTGGAACGCTGCGTCCGGCATTCGCAACCCGACCCACCGGGATATGCTGAATCTCACGGGTTTTTATGTTTTAGCTGTGAAAATACTATTTATAGCATACAAAATTGCAAAATGTTACACAACAATCGGTCGGATAGTTTCAGAGATTAACAATAAAAATCGACACAGACAGACGGACAGACAGAGATATAAAAATCATAGATTAATATAAAAACCTTATTTTACTACAACTCGTCGCCTGAGAACTTGTTTGATCTACAGATCAGAGCGCGCTCAAGCCAATGTCGACTCTAAGCGTTCAGAAACGATTTGGTTGGTTTGGACTATAATTGCTGCGGGAAATAGTTGTTTGGTCGGTTTTTATAACGACTAAGTGAATATTTTTGGTACATATTTAGAAGATTTTACATATTTTGTTTAACTAAGAATACTGTTGAAATCGCAATAACCCAATGGATTTTTATGAAAAATAATGTTTTAGAAACACCGTGTTCTATTTTGTATGAATTTTTAAATGTTTTTAGTGACAATTTTTGTGGTTGTTTTCGATATTAACAGTGAAAAAAAAAATTAAAAATGAAAATAATCGAAAATTCAAAAAATCGAGAAATCTAATAATCGAAAAATCGAAACCTTAAAATATCGTAAAACCGAAACATTGAACAATCGAAATATCAAAGAAATGAAAATCGAAAAATAAAGCATCAGAAAATCGAAACATCGAAAAACTGGAAAATCGAAAAACTGAGAAATCGAAAGAAAACGTGGAGACGAAAAGTTAAAAATTGAACAATTTATGAATCGAGAAACTGGCAATTAAAATATCGAAAAATCCAAATCTCGATAAATCGAGAATTTAAAAAACTTAAAACTTCGAAAAATTAAAAAATTGAGAGATTGAAAGATCAAAAGAACGAGAAATCGAAAAATGATGAAGTCGAAAAATAGAGAAACCGACAAACAAAAAGTCAAAAGTTGAAAAATTGGAAAAGCGGAAAAATAAAAAAACGGAAAAATGGAAAGCTGGAAAAACTGAGACACCGAAATAGGCCAAAATAAAAAATTGAAAACCTGAACAATCAAATCTCGATAAATCCGGACTGAAAAATTAACAAACAAACAAAAAGATTAAGAAATATTGAAAAATTAAAATATCAAAAGACTGAAAAATCTAAAATTTAAAAAGGCAGACACATTGAAAAATCCAGAAGTCAAAAATAGAAAAGCCGAAGAATTGAAATATTGAAAAATCCTAAAACTGAAATATCTAAAATCTGAAAAATCGAAAAATCAAAAAAAAAGTGAAGTCGAAAAATACAAACCTTAAAAAATCGAAAAATTGAAAAGAATCGAAGAACAGGAAAATCGAAACATTTGAAAATTTCGAAAACTTGAAAAATTTAAATATCGAAGAACTGAAATGAAAAATCGAGGAATCGAAAAATCTAAAATTTTAAAAATTAAAAAATCGAAAATTTAAGAATCGAAAAATTAAGAAAATCGATTACATCTAAAACCAGGAAGTCGAAAAATCGAAAAATTAAGAAATATTGTAAATTAAAATATCAAAAGATTGAAAAATTTAAAATTTAAAAATCCAAATAGAAAAGCCGAAGAATTGAAATATTGAAAAATCCTAAAACTGAAATATCTAAAATCTGAAAAATCGAAAAATCAAAAAAGTGAAGTCGAAAAATAGAAACCTTAAAAAATCGAAAAATTGAAAAATCAAAAACCTGAAAAATAAAAAAATTAAAAGAATTGAAGAACAGGAAAATCGAAACATGAAAAATTTGAAAACTTGAAAAATTTAAATATCGAAGAACTGAAATGAAAAATCGAGAAATTTAAAATCTAAAATTTTAAAAATTAAAAAATCGAAAATTTAAGAATCGAAAAAGTAGAAAAATCGATTACATCGAGAAATCCAGGAGTCAAAAATCGAAAAGTCGAAGAATCGAAATATTGAAAAATCCCATAACTGAAATATCGGAAAACTGAAAAATGAAAGAAAAACTAAAAATAGGAAACTAAATCGGGAAATCAGAACATTGAAAAATCGAATAATTTAAAACGACAATTGAAAACAGAAAATCTAAAACCGGGAAGTCGAAAAATCGAAAGATTAAGTAATCGAAAAATTGAAAAATCGAAAAAGTAAAAAAATCGACTCATCGAAAAATCCAGAAGCCAGAAATCGAAATGTCGAAGAATCAAAATATTGAAAAATCCAAAAACTGAAATATCCAAAAACTGATAACCTAAAAAGTCGAAAAATTGAAACCTTAAAAAAATGAAAAAATAAAAAATCAAAAACCTGAAAAATCGAAAAATTAAAGAATTGAAGGACAGGAATATCGAAACCCTCGAAAGTCAAGAAATGGGAAAATCAAAACATCGATTAATTGAAAAATCGAAAAATTGAGGGTTTATAAAAGTCAAATTTGAAAAATTCAAAAATCGAAAATTTGACAAAATGACAATTGAAAAACAGAAAATCTAAAACCGGGAAGTCGAAAAATCAAAACATTAAGAAATCGAAATATTTGAAAAATTCGAAAACTTGAAAAATTTAAATATCGAAGAACTGAAATGAAAAATCGAGAAACCGAAAAAGTAAAAAAATCGATTACATCGAAAAATCCAGAAGCTAAAAATCGAAATGTCGAAGAATCAAAATATTGAAAAATCCCAAAACTGAAATATCGAAAAACTGTAAAATGAAAGAAAAACTGAAAAATACAAAACCTGAAAAATCCAAAGACTGAGAACCTAAAAAGTCGAAAAATTAAAACCTTAAAAAAATTAAAAATCAAAAACCTGAAAAATCGAAAAATTAAAGAATTGAAGGACAGGAATATCGAAACCCTCGAAAGTCAAGAAATGGGAAAATCAAAACATCGATTAATCGAAAAATCCAGGAGTCAAAAATCGGAAAGTCGAAAAATCGAAATATTGAAAATCCCAACACTGAAATATCGAAAAACCGAAAAATGAAAGAAAAACTAAAAATGGAAAACTAAATCGGGAAATCGAAACATTAAAAAATCGAAAAATTTAAAACGAAAATTGAAAACAGAAAATCTAAAACCCGGAAGTCGGAAAATCGAAAGATTAAGCAATCGAAGAATTGAAAAATCGAAAAAGCAAAAAAAGCGACACGTCGAGAAGTCCAGAAGCCAAAAATCGAAATATTGAAAAATCCCAAAACTGAAAAATGAAAGAAAAACTGAAAAATCCGAAAACTGAAATATCCAAAAACTGAGAACTAAAAGGTCGAAAAACTGAGCAATCGAAAAATCCAAAAAGTGAAGTCGAAAAATCGAAACCTTAAAAAAACTAAAAAATGAAAAATCAAAAACCTGAAAAATCGAAAAATTAAAAAATTGAACAGGAATATCGAAACCCTCGAAAGTCAAGAACTGGGAATATCAAAACAACGATTAATTGAAAAATCGAAAAATTGACAGTTTATAAATGTCAAATTTGAAAAATTGAAAAATCAAAATTTTAAGAAATCAAAACATTTGAAAAATTTGAGAACTTGAAAAACTGAAATATCGAAGAAATGAAATAAAAAATCGATAAATCGAAAAATCTAAAATTTTAAATATTGAAAAATTACAATATCAAAAAACTGAAAAATCTAAAATTTAAAACCCAAGAATTGAAGAAACGACAATTGAAAAACAGAAAATCTAAAACCGGGAAATCGAAAAATCGAAACATTTGAAAAATTGAAATTTGGGAGAGCTGAAATGAAAAATCGAGAAATCGAAAAATCTAAAATTTTAAATATTAAAAAATTAAAATACCAAAAAATTGTGAAGTCTAAAATTTAAAAATCGAAAAAGTAAAAAGTCGACATAATTCAAAAATCGAAATATTGAAAAATCCCAAAACTGAAAT